TCTACATTCTAATTTTGGGTAACTGAGAGAGTACAAACTTGACCATTTTAGAAGAATCTCCTAAGTATCTCTATCTCTTGTAATATAAGCTCCAGTGGAAAAATTATGACATAAAGAGGAGAGAGAAAGATCACAGCTCATCTTCAAATTATTTAACTAAGAATCCAACATGTTTAGAAATGTTTGTAATAATATTTGGAGCACAACCACTGGGGGCAAATTTTGGTCAGAGACAGAAAATCCACCTGAGAAAAAAGTCACCCTGAGGTGGTTATTAAACATGGAAATTATCTAACTCGAACTTCCAGCCATTTATCACCATGGACTCACATTGTGGACCCTTGGGAAGGCGGTTCACATTAAACATGAAAATACAAACTGACTTTTGTCTAAAATTCCCAGGCACATAAGAAACATCAACCTCTAATTGCAGCACAAGGTTCCGGGCCTTAGTAATGATGGTAGAAGATGACAGTGGCTTGGAAAGTTCTGGACACACCTCTAAAGCACCTGTCAGGCACTCTGCAGGCATTCTGAGACATGTTGATAGTAACTGAGAACTGGCAGAAGAATCTTCTTTACAAATACTCAAAAAGAAAGAGTATAATGTTAATTGATCTGACACTAGGATGCTGATTGAGACCTGGTTCCAAGTTTGTTGTATAAACGTATATGCTTATACATATGCTCATGTCAGTCCTTCCAATTTAACCTCCTGATTCCAAGTTCATGGAGATTCCAGAACAAGAAGAGTTTCTTTTCCTTTCTCTCTTTTTCACATGGGTACTTGGAATGGTAACTGCTTACTTTTTTTTGTTGTTGCTGTTTTTTTTTTTTTATTTTATTTCAGTAGCTTTAGGGCTACAGGTGGTTTTTGGTTACATGGGTGAATGTATTGTGGTGAAGTCTAGGATTTTAGGGCACCCCTCACCAGAGTAGTGTACATTGTACCCAATAGGCAGTTTTTCACTCCTTCCCTGCCTCCCACCTTCCTCCCTTCTGAACTTCCAATGTCCATTATACCATTCTGTACAGTTTTGCACATCCACAGCTTAAGGCAGATGTAAATTGACAATGTCACTGCATATGGTTTCATGAAGATTTTCTCCTGAGATAGAGGGTAAAAATTCCTTTTTATGCAGGATTTAATTTTTTTAAATTGTACTTTAGGTTCTGGGATACATGTGTACATCATGCAGGATTGTTGCATCAGTACATACATGGCAAGGTGGTTTGCTGCCTTCCAAACCATGATAGTTTCCAGAATGAAAAGGGAATCTATGTAAAATTAAGCTAGAGCAGTGCCTCTGAGCTAGAACAGGTCAGTCAAAGGGATATATGTAGTCATTCTGGAATTGGGTACTAGCAAGCTCTTAGAATTTCAAAGCAGACTCTGGCTGGTAGTCAGGCAGATACTTAAGGGGACATATCATGCTTGTTTATATATTGAACCCCAGACATATTATGTAGCACAATTTTGCAGAGAAGTCTACTCAGGGATATCAAATACTAACATCAAATTATCTGTCACTAATAAAATTGTTGAATATTTTTATATTGTTCATTGTCGCAGAAGGAGAGGTGGTTGAGAAAGAAGAATACCTATATTTTCTGGCCTTGGTATCATCTGATAGAATCCGAATCCCAACTATTCTAGTGTCTGTTGTTATGGTTAATTTTATGTGTTAATGTAACCGAGCCATGGATGTCCAGATATGTGGTTAGACATTACTTCTGGATGTGTCCGCAAGGGTGTTGCTGAAGGAGATTAACATGTTGACTAACTCTCCCATCCAATTTGTTGAATGCCTGAATAAAACACAAATGTGGAAAAAAATTAATTTACTTCGCCTGACTGCTTGAACTGGGATATTAATCTTCTCTTGCCCTCAATACTCCTGATTCTCAGGTCTTCATGCCTGGACTGGAATCTACACCATTGGCTCTTGAGTCTTTTCAGCCTTTGCATTTTCACCAACAGACCCCTTATAATAAATCTCTTCCTAGATATCTATGTCTCCACCTTTAAATCTTATTCTATATATCTGCATATCCTATTGGTTCTGCTTCTGTGGAGCACCCTAATACACTAACACTCATTTTTGGCTTCAGGGTCCAACGTCACCTGTGCATTCCTATTAAGCAACGGTATAGCTCTTCTGCTTGCATTTTCTCATTTAATGAACAAAGCTATCCAATGAAATGTGTTTCCCTTTTTGCTTTGGAATGCTTCATATATTTTCTAGATGATATGTATCATTCACATGTTTCATTGACAATTGACAGTTATCAATCAGCAAAGAAAGAACCCAAACACAAAGATGGCTATGAAAATCCTGCTCTGTCAGTGTGAGTGGAGCCAATGGCACATGCTCATTAAGGAGAGAGTACAGGGAAGAGGCTCTAGGATGTATGATTTTTCCTGTCTTTAAAATACTGATTCTAACTTTTTATTGTTTTGGTTGAGTGGTTAATGTATTTGCAGGGTGGAAGTTGAAGTAGGAGACAGTTTTCTAATGCATCGTTGTTGGAAAGTGTTTCTTTGGAAACACATGCCTCATGCCAAAAGTATCTTTTTGGGACTTGATACAATTTGGCTCATATTGCATGTTGCACATTGGTTTCAATAGAAGGCAGAGAACACCAATTTCTACAGTAAAATAAACATACCTCCTTAGGAGTTAGGTGGAATTTGAAAGTAAAATGCATGAAAACACCAAGTAAGATAACAAGCTACAATGTTCTTGTATTTTTAAAATTTTTTAGTTATATTGGGATGGAGAAGAACGTGCCATGCAGTTGTAACTGTCTGTCTACATGACTCTGTTTGCCATTCTCTCCTTTCTCTTCTAAAAAATGCCCCTTATAGTATCTCAGTGAAATATGTATTTAAGTTTCACACACCTTGAAAACTGAATTAATAGCCTTTTATTTTTTAAGAAAAAAATCTCTTGCAAGTTTTCTTCACTTATTAAATATGTGCTTTGGGTCTACAAACCAGAGTCCAATTCCAAGTAGATGCCTTGAATCTGTGTGTCTTGATTAATTTTCCTTAATCTCTCTGGGTTCTGATTTCTTCAGCTGTTAAATGGTGAGAGTGTTTACTACAGGCATCTTCTTGTGAATTTGTTTTTAGATGACATATATAAAATACTTGTCAACATACATGACACCAGGTAGATGATCAGAAATTTTATATAAAAGGCTATTCCAATAACAATAATGACCCTAGTAAAATCAATATTTCCTAATGGAGTGCCCAGGGACACTGTGTATCACTTTATCAAAGTTCTCAGTGAAAATGAAGATTCCTGGGTCTGACACTACACTGACAAACCATAGACTTGCAGGTGATAAGGGTCAGAAATCTGCATTTTAACAAGATCTGTGTGCATTTCTTATACACACAAACATTTTAAGAAGACATGTTCTAGCTTTCCACAGTAATCCAGACTTCATCGCATTTTTTTTTAACTTCTAGTGATGTTTTAATGCTTACATAGAATTCAATCTTTCAAACCTTTTATTAAGACTTCCACTAAAATGAACATTAAATAAAGTTTTATAGAAATACAGAAAAAAGCAACCATGCCAGCTGGGAAATGTAGCCAAAAATGTTATGTTTAAGTCATCATAAACATGCTATCAAGGAAAACCACAGCAATGAAGCAATTGTAGAGAAAAACTAATGGAAAACATACTAATTATCTAAATTGTTTAGGTGAGAGGATTTTTTTCTTTCTTTTTAACTTTCCTTTCTTTAATTAACTGACTAATGAGCAGAAACCCTAACCTTGGTTTATCACATGATCTTACGCTCAAAGTTTTGTCTATCAGGAATATCAAAATGAAATACTAGACAAATGCAACTTTGTTTTTCAAGTTAAGTTTGTGAGAACTAGTTAGATATAGATGCTTTTCCCACATAAAGGGTGACAAAGTGTTGGGGACTGCATATGACAGATGCTTTTAAAATTTGTGTTTCATTTAAATTTTTAAAAAGCTTGATCAGGATATGATTGACATACAACAAGCAATGCATGTTTAAAGCACACCATTTGATCAAATTTAAAATGTATCCATGCTCCTAAAATCACTTTCATAATTAATTTATTTAATATATTCATTAACTCTAAGAACTTCTGTCTGCTCTTTTATAACACATCCTTCCTTCCTTATGCTCTTCCTTCCCCTCCCTATGCAACTGTTGATCTTTCTCCTGTAATTATAAATTAATTTATAATTTCTTTTTCTATTTTTATTTTATATTTGGTAAAAGGAGAGATGAATTTTAAAGTACAATTTTTGGGCAGAGCTCTACTGTAAGTGCTGACCATCCACCATAGAGAGAAATACTACCCTTCTCCCAAGTCAGGTTAAGGAGACAAGAAGTTTACTGCATGCCTTCTGTAGTCTGAGGGCCATGGACTGAGGGATCTGTGGGCATCGCTCCCCTGTGAGGCCCCTAGGAAATGGGCCTGGCCATACGGTGAGCTTGAGCCCGGACACAGATTCCCGGTTGGGGGAGTCGAGCTGAGGAAAAGCAGGAACCGAGAGAGGGACTATGTTATTCAAAATAATTAACAGACATTACTTTATGGATATGAGGACTTGGGAGGCATTGTGTCCACTTTCGGTTCCTTATGGTTTATTGTTTCATTGTGTTCATTTTGGACCCTTGTTACGTTCGTTCGTTGAAAATATTAACTTAAGTATTTACACTTGTTAACTTACTTGCTGGGTGTAACTTACTTACCTTGACTTATTGGGTGTAACTTACTTACTGGGCGTAACCTACTTACTGGGCCTAACTTACTTAGTGGGCTTAACTTGCTTACCTTGTGACTTAAGTATTTTGATCTGAGCTAAACAACATTAAGTAGAAAACTATATATTGGAACCTATTGCAACAATAAAATTGCTGCATGGGCATAGCGCATGTAGCCCTCCAGACCTCGCTCTTTTCTTTCTCCTTTTTTCCGGCGCATGCTCTCTTCCAGGTTTGGGACCCTCTCGCTGGACAAGATTCCCGGGCTCGCGTTCAGTTCACAACAGCTGGTGCCCCGAACGTGGGACCTGGACATGAGGGATAACCGTGACGCCTACAAACTTTAGAGGTGAAGCTGCAGCGTAAGTAAGTGAATAACCTTTTCTTTTCATCTGGAGTGAAACATGGGAAAATAGAATCTAAAGAGCATAAATTGTTTGTACAGCTTTTGCAACATATGATTAAGTCACATGGTCATGACATTAAACTTAAAACTGTTGAGGAATCTGTGCACATAGTGCACGAGCTTTGTCCGTGGGTTCCAGAGGGTGAATTCTTGGATGAAGCCACTTGGAAGGTTATAGGTGAAAAGATTGATCAGTTTTCTACTCGCAACGTGTTGCTACCTCAAACCGATATTTTGCTTTCCATTTGGTCTAAGTTGCGTGATTATGTTTGTCCTTCTCCCTCAGCCCCACCTTATACCCCTGTGGCTGTCTGTCCTCCTCCACTTCCTCCTGATCCCCTCAATTTGGTGGAACACGGCTACATGCTCTTGGGAAGAGGAGCACATTCGGAATTACCTGACCAGCTAAACTACCCTATTGAGGCTTATATGCAGATTACCTCCTTGGCAATGTGTGCCTGGAGGCAATTACCATCATCCAGTGTTAGAACGGAGGAGCTTGCTAAGATTCATCAGGGACCTGATGAGCCTTTTCAGGAGTTTGTCTTGCGCCTCCTCCAGGCTTACACGCCAGGTTGGCAATGATGATGCTAGCTCCCTTTTGGTAAAGCAATTGGCTTTTGAAAATGCTAATATGGCATGCCAGGCAGCCATGAGGCCCTATAAACGTAGAGGCACCTTAACTGATTATATTCACTCTGCACTGATATCAGACCTGCTTATCAGCAAGGTCTTGCTCTAGCGGCTGCCCAGGCTGGTATGACTGTTGCAGCCTTTCTGAAACGGGCCTACTCAGCCTAGACCACCTCTTAAATGCTTTCGTTGTGGCAGTCTGGGGCACGTAGCTAGACAGTGCCAAGACCCTTCTATCCCTCAGTCTCAGTTGCTGGCTTTCCCGACTTCTCTTGACCCGGCATCTGCTTCGCCCATTGCTGCCCAACCCCAGGTTTGCCAACAATGGACATCTGGTGTTTGAGTCTCACTGGAGAGATTGACCAGGTAAGAGGTTAAATGGAGCAGCCGAAGAAAGGGCTGGATTTAGGAAGAAAGTATGCTACCAAACTTTCAAAGCTAAAATGTTTCACAAGTATTCTCCCATGGGCTGAATATAGACAGCATGATCTAAATAAATTCTTTACAGGAGGCTCCCCTAGAAGGAAGCAGCACCTGAGCAGGGAAGCTGGAGTAGAGTCTTGCATGCCTAGAAACTGTGAGAGAGTGAACAACAGCAGCCACCCTAAACAGGGACACTTTCTCTTGTCAAGAAAAATAGAGAGAAGGCATCTGAGGGATTCTGTCCATGGGGTCTGATATGGTGTGGCTCTGTGTCCTCACCCAAATGTCATTCTGTAGCTCCCATAATTCCCATGTACTGTGGGAGGGACTGGTCGGAGATTCTTAAATCATGGTGTGGGTCTTTCCCGTACTGTTCTTGTGATAGTTAACTGGTCTCACAAGATTTGGTGGTTTTAAAAATGGGAGTTTCTCTGCACAAGCTCTTTTTTTTTGTCTGCTGCCATCCACATAAGATGTGATTTGCTGCTTCTTGTCTTCCGCCATTACTGTGAGGCCTCCCCAGCAATGGGGACTTGTAAGTCCAGTAAACTTTCTTTTGTAAGTCATCCAGTCTCAGGTATGTCTTTATTAGCAGTGTGAAACGGCCTAAATATCTCCCACATGCAGAGTTTTGCTAAGTTTTAGATCACTACCAAAGCATTAGCCAGATGGGAATGTGTATGCCCCTCTTCTTTGCTTTATTTCCCTCTTTTAACCCAGGAGGACCCTTTCTTAATTTCCTGTGCCTGCTGTAGCAAATTAGCAGCACACAGTTAGTTGCTTAAGTGTGATTAACATAAAATAAACAATGCATATTTAAAGCATGCCTTTTGATCAGATTTAAGATGTATCTATGCCTGTAAGACCACATCCATAATTAAGGTATTTAATATATCTATTTAATCTAAGAATTTCCTTCTGCCATTTTATAATACATCCCTCCTTCCTTATGTCCTTCCCTCCCATCCATAGGCAACTGTTCATCCTTTTGCTGTCACTACCCATGAGTGTGCCTTTTCTATTTTTTTCTTTTATTTTTTGTAAAGGGAGAGATTAGTTTTAAAGAGCTCTACTGTGAGTGTTTCTGGAGGTCAGAAGTCTGAAATGGGTCTCCTGGACAAAAATGAGCATTGGCAGGGATAGATTCCTTTTGGAGACTTTAACAGATTATCTGTTTCTTTGTCTTTTCTAGATCACAGAAACCACTCACACTCCTTGACTTGGTCACATTTTTCATCATGAAAGCCAGCAACCCCAGGCCAAGTCTTTCCTGAATTCTCTCTGGAAGGTAACTATGCTCACTACTATACCACCAACAATCAGGTTATCTCTGGTTCTTTCTCTTCTACTATCTTCCACTTATAAGAGCCCATGTGACTACCTTGTTTCCACACAGTAATTTATGATAATCTCTTTAAGGTCAGAGAATTAACAATTTTAGTTCTCCTTCTAAATGAGAAAAACGAAGTCAAAGTTTTGAACTAGAGAAGTAAAAAGATGACTACCACACTCACTATCTCAACTCTAGGCTTTTTTCCACTGGAGGCAGTGCTGTGGGTGAAGATGGGTATGGTGGAGAAAGTCTTGACCGCAAATTAAAGTCTGAGTACTGAGTATTATATTGTCCTAGATACCAGGAAGAAGTTTCCTTTGCTTTTTTTTCTTCTTCATGAGTGATCTGAACAATCATGGAGCTGTCCAAAATTTCATCCAGGGCACCAAAAAAATTAAACTCATGACCAGATGTAAAGGAATAACGAGAGACAAAATTATAAAGTTATTCTGCCATCATATCTCACCGCTTATATATGTGATATATAATAGTTCCATGTGTATTTCCCATGACCCCATACAAAGTAAAACAAGACTCTAACTGAATTAGTAGAAGACAGGTATCTCTATCGCCTTTTGAAAACTGACAACATGTGGGCACATAGATGTGTTTTGTCAAAGGCATACAATATTTATTTATTTATAGTAACTTTTGTTGATATAGCATAGTTGCACATATGTTGGGAGTATATGAAATACTTTGATACATTTTCACCATTTGTAATTTATCAAGTCAGTGTAATTTATCTTTTCTTTTTTTGGGGGGAACATTATAATTCTTCTCTTCTAGATATTTTGAAATATCCAAAAATTATTGTTAGCTATAGTTTTCCTACTGTATTATCTAATACTAGAATATATTTTTTCTGTCAAATTGTATTTTTACCAACTCCTCTTTATACCTCTTTCTCTTTCCTTTCCCAGCTTCTGGTAACCATCCTTCTACTCTCAACCTCCATGACACCCACATTTTGAGCTGTGAGCAAGAACATGTGAGCAAGAACAGGGAATATCTGTCTTTCTGTGCCTTGCTAATTTCACTTAACATAATGACCTCCAGTTTCATTACTGCTGTGAAAGAAAAGATTTATTTTTTTATGTTTGTGTAATATAGTATTGTGTATATATACCAGAATTTCTTTGCCCATTCATTAATTAGTGGACTCTTAGATTGATTCCATATCTTGCCTATTGTGAATAGTGCAGCAACATACAGGGAAGTGCAGATCTCTTTGATATACTGATTAATTTTCTTTTTGACATATGCCCAGTAGTCAGATTGCTGGATCATATGGTAACTATTTTTATTTTTTTATTTGTTTGAGAAATCTTACTTTTTCCTGTAAAGGCAGTAGTACCTTACCTTCAAACCAAGGGTGTACAAGCAATCCCATTTCTCCACATACTCTCCAGCATTTGTTTTTGTGTTTTGTTTTTGTCTTTTTGGTAATAACTCTTCTAACTGGGGTGAGATAATATTTCATTGTGGTTTCAATTTACATTTCTCTGATTATTGGTGTTACATTTTTATATACCTATTGGCCATTTGTATGTCTTCTTTTGAGAAGTGTCTAGTCTATTCAGTTCTGTTTCCCATTTTTAAACAGATTATTTTGACATATATATATACACATATATATACACATATATAATATACACATATATATATAAAACTATTGAGTTGTTTGAGTTTATTATAGATTCTGGTTATTAACCTCTCGTCAGATGGATAGTTTGCAAATATTGTCTCCCATTTTTTTTTAATGTGGAGAAGCTTTTTAACTTGATGTAATTGCATTTATATACTGTTGCTTTTGTTGCCTGTGTTTTTGAGGTCTTAGCCAGAAAATATTTTCTCAGTCCAATATTTTATAACATTTCCCTAATGTTTTATTCTAGTAGTTTCATAGTTTTAGATATTATATGTAATTCTTTAACCCCTTTTAATTTAATTTTTGTAAATAGTGAAAGATGGGGATTTTGTTTCATTTTTCTACATATGGATATCCAGTTTTCTCAGCACCATTTATTAAATAGACTGTCCTTTCCACTATGTACGTTTTTGGACTCTGCCAAAAATGAGTTAGATGTGTGTAGATTCATTCTTGGGCTCTGTTCTGTTCCATTGGCCTGTGACTATTTTTATGCCAATACCTTTTAGCAGTCGAACGCAACATTTTGTAAAGGTCTGTTAGGGCCATGTAGTCTAGAGTACAGTTTAAGTGCAATATGTCTTTGTTGATTTTATATCTGGATACTCTGCTCATTGTCAAAGACGAGGCATTGAAGTGTTCTATTATTATCTTGCAGTCTATCTCTCCCTTTGGATGTATTAGTTTATATGCTTTGTTATATGGTTTATATGCTTTGTTGTTTGGGTCTTAGTTGCATATATATTTAGTATACTTGTGTCTTATTGTTGAATTGATACTTTTATCATTATATAATAACCGTTGTCTCTTTTCATTGTTTTTCAGTTAGAGTCTATTTTATCTAAGCAGAACTGCTCCTTCCCTTTTTGGCTTTAATGTGCATGGCGTATCTTTTTCGATCT